CTCCAGGTTTCAAAACGACATATATCATGATTTTACGAAAACATGCATCCAAATTATATGCTACCAATGCCTTAATATTAGAAGAAACCTTATGAATATAAAACATGTTGGAAGAATATATGTATAATAATATTAGGTAGTTCGTGATCAAACCCCATATTCAAATCACATTATTTTATAGTAGTGGCTTGTCAATAAACCAAATGTTCGTACTGTTGAGTGACTTGCCAATAAAATAAATAAATAAACAATTGTGCATCCATTGTATAATGTCAACTGGTGACCAAAAAAGACAGGCCTGCAGACAAGACAAAACAGGAAATTTTAGTTTGACTTCGAAACCTTGCAATTTGTGTATTATGGCGCTTCAGTCCGTGTATACAAACAACACGTCATGTGGGCACTAGTTTGACTGCAGTATTAGTAGTTTATATGTGCAATAACTGCATTTTATACTAAAATTCATTGCACTTGTTATCGTTATTTCATTTTCTTAATCACACAGATAGTTGCAAGCCTTGTGATATCCACATGGATCTTATTTCTGCATGTCGAATGGCACAGTATGGTAAGTTTTATTTCGTATTTATAACGAATCATAACCTAACTGTGCTATATAAACATATTTACCTTCCTGTACTTTATATTTATGTTGCCTCCACAGCTATTAAAGTAAAAGTAACAGACATATTTGGATACCATTACCCACTTACAACTCAGTTCGTAGTAGACATTGAAGCGATATTGAAAGGAGATGGCTGTGACGGTCCATGCATGTTACCAAGTGATCTACATTACGATATAGATAAATGTGAGTGTCCACATATTCGTAAGCTGGATGCTTCTTATTTGATTATCATCTCAAGTTTCAACGAACAGCATCAACCCAAGATCGATCATTCAACCTATGTACAAGTCTGGGACGAGGAGAAAATCCGAAGCATTCCTGATTGTGTTAATAATTTTAATCTTGATTATGATAGCTTGGATCAAGCCGAGTGCGACAACCCCAATACGCCATGGTGTTACCTTCACGGCACAGCATCTGACTGTCCATAAAACACACGCACAAATGAATGTATCCCCTCGTTTTTGTGTGGAAAAATCCCTTGCAATACGAACATCTAATTGCACGAAGGACACAGAACACTTTCCCAGGTATTTGAAACCCAAATCTTCATCTAATTGTAAGGTTGCGCTGATCGGTTCTTGCGTAGAATGACGATTTCGGTTTCGCAGAATCTTGAAACAGTTTGGCGCGGTTTGTTGTGTGCTCGTGCGACATTGTTACATCTATAGCGTACGCTTCAAATACATTGCTGCGTTTATTCCTGTATAATCGAAATACATATTACTATGTTATTCCTGTATAATTTAATACATATTACTATGTTATTCCTGTATAATCGAATACATATTACTATGTTATTCCTGTATAATCGAATACATGTTACTACGTTATTCCTGTATAATCGAATACATGTTATTACGTTATTCCTGTATAATTGAATACATTACCACGTTTATTCCTGTATAAACGTGTGCATTTTACTGTGTTTATTCAATAAATGTTACTACCTTTATTCCTATATAATCAAATACATGTTACGTTATTCCTGTATAATCGAATACATGTTATTTCGTTTATTCCTGTACAATCGAATACATTTTACTACCTTTATTCCTGTATATTCAACTACATGTTACTATGTTATTCCTGTATAATCGAATATATGTTACTATGTTATTCCTGTATAATCAAATACATGTTACCAGGTTTATTCCTGTATACTCGAATGCATTTTACCAGGTTTATTCCTGTGTAATCGAATACATGTTACTACGTTATTCCTGTGTAATCGAATACATGTTACTACGTTATTCCTGTATAATCGAATACATGTTACTACGTTATTCCTGTGTAATCGAATACATGT